GTGGGGACACAAAACAACGGCGGCGGTAGATTCGGGGGATTAAATAAAACGAAACAAAAGCATCTTCCCCCTTCTTTTCTTTGAAAAACAAACAAACAAACACACAAACAAACACACAAACAAACACACAAACCAACACAAAAAACCCACACCGTACACACGCACCCATGCTTGTTGTGCTCAGCCAAGAGGCAAGAGCGTACCCAAAGATCGGGTAGTAGAGAATCTTTGGTGTACCGCCACACCTTTTGCTTCGTCGTTCACCCATCACCAAAGGGCTAGGTAGGTGATAAGAGATGGGGCGTGGTGAGGTATGAGCACAGAACTCTACACTTGTAGGCCTAGAATTCTGTGGGTATGAGTAAGGGAAAGTTGCGCGCAGTCGACCTCACTCGCTTCTTGTCCAAGACCACCTGCTATAATTAATATTCAATGATTTACCTCGAGGTCATCTTATACCACAGAATTCTACACTTAAGTGTAGAATTCTGTTTCTTATACCCAGTGCGCATTGGCAAGATTTGGCCGTCGGGGCTAGCCAGATTGAGGGCGAAAAGCGATCATCGTGGCACAAACCGAACGAAACCGACGGTGGCCTTCAAGAACAAACATGTTCGTTTTTAAGGCCGCGAGTTGGGCGATCAGTTCGAGGCAGGGGTTCTTTAATTTATAGTGAGCACTGAAGCCGCCAGAAACAACATTATAAGAAAATCTGGGTTTACCTCCAATGGCTGGACAAAATCGAGACAGGCGACAAGCGAGAGTTGGAGGCGGATGCAGTAGATGACCCAGAGGTTCAACGTGCCTCGTCTAGTTCTGCGCACTGCGCACTCCACAGTGCATTACTGCCACCCACTTTTCTCTTCCTGCAACCATGAAGATTTCTTCCGTATCCTAGAGTCCGCCGGTGCTCAGACATAATATGCACAAGTAGACTAGCCCTAGCAATCTCCTTTTCCCTAGCCCATACGCTGTGAGCAGTACTGTTGCAGGATGGATGATGGGTGTCACTCTCTTCCGCCTTCACCGTCATTGGGAAATAACCCCCCCCACACACACACCCTTTCCTGTGGTTCTGTCGTTGGAGCTTGGTCGCCAGTTTGTCGCCAAGGCTCTTTGTTGTGTCCCTTAGGTCTGCACACGACAAGCCTTTTCTGCAAATCAGGGTACATTCATTTCATGCCCGAATTCTTTTTCTTTTTTTTAGATGGGGTGGTGGGTGTCTTTTTGATTTTGCTGGGTTTGTGGGTTTTTTTGTGGGTTTTTGTTTCTTTTGTTGTTGTTGTTGTTGTTGTTGTTGTTGTTGTTGTTGCTGCTGCTGCTGCTTTTTTAGGTTGACTCCTCTAATTATGTCGCGTTTAGCCGGGTATAAGTTCATGGATGCTCCCCAGTTTCCGTGAGTCAGCTCTCGGAGAATAGGCTAGGGCTTGAGTTGGAAGGAAACCTTGCACGGTCGATAGTGAAGTGAAAGAGGTTGCGGTAGGTCAAGGATTAAGGATGCCCCGCTGATGTCAGTATCTCCCTGTGCCTGGTACAACATCAAAAACCGACACAAGCAAGCACTGCAATGCAAAGCAAGGCATACAAATACATCAAGCAAGCTGCTTTATCCTTTATAGCAGCCATCACCCTAAACCGGGCCACGAGGTGGCACACGGGAGAGAAGCCTATAGATAATTCCATTGCCTGCACAACCAAGGCATTACACCCCTTGACATTTTTTTTCCCTCCTGTAACGCCCTCATTGTAAATAAACCATGGGCTACTATAGGCCTACTGATATAGTCGTCCTTGACATAAACATAATGTCTACACCATGTATATTCTTTTATACATTTTAAAGTAAGCTCGGTGATATGTACATTCCCTCTTTCACATTATTCTATTTCATTTTTTTCTGGCGTTCATACGGTGCAAATTTGATATTGCAAACGGAAAACGTATCGATGGGTTCGATTCCCGGATAGAATACATTATATGAATTAGTTACTTCAAAGTTATTTCTATACTATCCTGGAAAAATGTTATATTGAACCTTTAGGTATCCCATCAAGCGAAAGTTACGTCTGCAATATTAGGTCATTTGTAGCCTACCCCATTTCTGCTCACCACAGCCACTACTTTCGAATGATCCTAGCTTACCAATTAAGGTAGGCTAAAAACGTGAGCATACTATTCATTATCATCATCATCATCATCATCATCATCATCATCATCATCATCATCATCATCATCATCATCATCATCATCATCATCATCATCATCCAATAAGCAGGAACAATAAAAAGAATCACATGTTGCTGGGACCAGGTTGAGTTAGTGAGACTGCGGTCGGACCATCATTGGAGCATGAGATGGTGTCAGAACTTTGTGAATAAAGAGCTCACCCCACGTTGCAGAAGATGCAACCATGAAAAGGAGGATGTCAAACATTTATGCTTGAATGTCCAGGAACAATGGCAACTCGAATGGAGTTACATGTACATGTATTTGGACGAGCGGATGTTCATCTGAGTGTAATGACAATAGAGCCGAAAAATCTCGCTCGAAGATTTCTTCCTGGAGTCCACCAGGCCCATTAAGGAATCTAAAAAAAAAAATCACCATCATCATCATCATTGTAGGAAGCATGCGATAAGAAAAAACAAAGGTGGAGATTTGCGTATTTGGAGTTTACTGACGTTATAAAATACAGTCGAACCTGCTTTAACGGAAACCTCTCTAAGACGAAAACGTGTAATAGGCCTAAAGGAATCTCTCCACTCCTGCCTTGATAAATACCTCTATGATTACCTCCCTAAAGTGCAAAACTGATCAACCCGGAAAAGGACAAGGAAAATCCATGCTATTCGGAAGGTTTTTAACCTATCTACTGTAATACCGATCGATGTCCTGATGTGAAACAAAACTGTCAAAATTTGCTTCCATCAGCTCTACTTCTTAACCCTATCCATTCGCCCTGGGGTCATTTTGTACCCATGGGGTTGTATTCTTCAAATTTTAGTATACTTCTAGCACGAAGATCTCTTTGAAACTTTCAGTGTTTCTCAAAGAATCTTTTAGACAGACTGCTATGCAAAGCGTACGGGTCGGATTAACGAGTAAATTTCCTCTTTGGAAAGTGGTGGTACATCGAGTTCCCCACGTCGTATGGATACAATAGTAAAACACGACATACGGATAGGGTTAAATGCCATGCTGCCAGGCGAGGAAGGGGAGATTGGGGGGGGGGGGGGGGGTAGGGGTGCAGCTTGGGGTAGATGTTTCATTATAATATGTACCCAAGGAGTTATACATTAAGGTCCTTGCATGTACCTCATCCATGTGAGCCAACGTCTCCGGTATAGATAGACTGTACAGTACAGTAGGCGTTGATGTGAGCTCTGAGCGGTGCAAATAGCCAGGGTGGTGTGGGTGTGGAAATCTGACCGCAGTGTCTGTGAAAATGCTTGAGTGGGGCTCCAGCACGGGGACTTCCTGGTACCCGAAGGTGTGAAATTAATTTGACCAATGCTTGCAGTGTAGCCTGTCGAGACAAAGGTTTCTCTAATCGTTGTTATATTAAAGACGGGATGGGCGGCACTGGTTGCATGAGGCTTATATAATTACATCGAAGGGTGTGGCTAAGGGCGGAAACTCTAATTAGGCCATGCTCAATGGTTTCTGTTTTTAATTGGTCAAACAGTGGTCCTAAAAGATGCAAGCATTGGTGGCAATGAACAAACTTAGACTGACAAAAGCCATTATCAGAGAGGCTAGATATCTCTTGGGAGGTGTGAAGTTTTGACTTGACCACTGTTTGCTGACCGGACAGTCGGCCTCAGATCCCGCTGGCAAAAATACCCCCCCCCCCCCAGTTGTCTCCCTTATTAACTTGTCCAATACAAAAAAATGTCTAAGACGAGGTTTTTATCTGGCTCCCTTGCGACTCCATCCAAGACAAGTTAAAAATTCTGTTTTGTTTTAGTAGAGGTTTAAATTAATTACGGCGTTCGCAACTGCATAAGGTAATATGAGCGCCAAAGGGGTGGATGTCAACAGAGAAGTCCACACTAGGAAATCAGCTTACTCTGCTCATCTTTCTAGCTTCAACAGCACGTCTGGACGTATACTTTTTTCGTAGTGGTGTTATTGTTTGTTTGAGGGTTTTTTAAAATCACGTTCCTGAAAAGAAGTTAATAAAAGTTGTTTTGTTCGTTTGTTTGTTTTTTAATCAAGGCGAAACGTTGAACATGATGCAATATATCGCCTTTATTGTCTTTACCCCCCCCCTCCCCCCGGGCGGTGCTACTGACTGAAGTGTCTTTAGGTCATTCTCAAAGGATTGGGGGTGGGGGGTGGGGGGGGGGGGGGGGGCATAAACATCTCGAGATCTTAATTATGCACAGTAGAATTGGAATTGTAAATGGGCTGATTCATCAATGTAATGCTCATATCTGTGCCTGAACTGCAACAGGCTTTTTCTTTCCTGATCCTTACTATCGTCATATTTTTCTTCTTTTGTATGTTTGTCACACTCCTGTGACGCCGCTATTTCCGGGGTGCTTTGATAGTCGAAGCAGACTCTAGCATAATATGATGCACAATTAAATGTGCATGTGAGCAAAAATACAACGGAACATCATCATCATCATCATCATCATCATCATCATCATCATCATCATCATCATCATCATCATCATCATCATCATCATCATAGTTGTAAGCATGCATAGGAAAAAAAATAGAAGGAGATTTGAGTATTTCGAAATTGGAAGTTATCATCATCATCATAATAAGCTGCTCATCACATGTAATGGTGAACTGCATGGTGAACTGAGAAGAATAATATAAGAATTCAAAAATAATTTAAAAAAAAAAGGTCTCTATATATATTTAGACTCAAGGAGTGATTTAGACTAGAATCTAGATCTAGATCTAGATCTAGATCTAGATCTATACTATATTATCTAGATAGATCTACTTCTAGAGACGGTAGACAATTCAAATATCATATATTATATGTTAGTTGTTTTTCTGAAAAATAAAAATACGTTCTACTTGACTAACATGATTTGTGCTTTGAAAGTTATCCATGTAATTAACATTTAATTCGTTTTTCTTTTTGTGAGCCAAAATTGGCAAATCAACTGAATCTAATTTGTTTTGATAAAATCTTCTGCCCGTATGAATTTTTAGAAAGTTCTATTAATAGCTGTCTCGTGACCACTGGTGTTTGTGTGTCAGTGCCCAGTGCAGCTGCTTCAGTTTTTCCTCATCCAGTATACAGTGAACTCACACCACGCACTCAAAAGATCTGGAAGTTGTGTATCACATGCTTTGACTTTGCTATTTCTTTAAAATCATTTTACAAAGTTTGATTTACAGGTCTTTAAATTCGCGAATTCAAGATGAGTGATACTGAAAATGCATCAGAAAAGACTGCACTGATTCGGAACTCCTATGAGGATTCAGATTATGAGGAAGAACTGGAGGGATGCAGCGGAACGCCTCCTTGCAACCCAAGATCATGCCTCCACAGATATTTCCCAGTTCTTATTTTCATTTGTTTTTTGAGTTTTGGTAAGTCATTTGGTGTTTGTTTACGTATCTATAGGTGATACTTTCCTGTCTATACCGCTCATTGGATTCAAAACCTGAGTCTGACTCGACTGTCCTGCAAACTATTGGCAATAGCCTAGATCTAGATTCTAGTTTTACTACTTAACTGTACTACTTTACCTTTGGTTTGGCCTTTACCTTTGCTAACATTTGTTGGGTTTGAAATCTTTCTTAGTTCTTAATTGTATGTCAATTATCCAGTTTTGTATATAGATCTATTAGTTTGATACTTGGTGGTAAGAAGAGTAAAGCAGATCACCCCCACCCTGATGCCCAATCCTAATATATAATCATAATGCCTTTAAACTACATCTCTTCTTTGAATTCTTTGTCACAGCCTAACACCATGTCACATGATCAGAATCAGAATATTCAGAGGTATCACATGATCCATCTAACCCAGCTGAGACTTGAATTTTAAAAGAAGCTGTGGGTTAAGATAGCTGTCTAAATCATGTGTATCCCTACCCAAATCATGACAACTCTTTTTTAAAAATCATGCCATGAAATTGAGAAAAACACCTCTCTATTTATTTAAAGTTAAAGTACAACTCCCTTTGACTGAGTGTACTTTTACGAACTGCACATGTTATTCCCTTTAATCAAAGGCCGTCGTTATTCGGACTCGAGTCCGAATAACATTTTTTCATATTCGGACTCGAGTCCGAATAAAAAAAAATTCTTATTCGGATTCGAACTCGAGTCCGAATAAAAAAAATTCTTATTCGGACTCGAGTCCGAATATGAAAAAATGTTATTC